CATGGAACTCTTGAAGAAGAAATTTATATGCTCCAGCCTAAAGGTTTTGAAGAAGAAGAAAAGAAGAACTTGGTTTGCAGGTTAAACAAATCTCTGTACGGTCTAAAACAGGCGCCGAGGTGTTGGTATAAGAGATTTTATTCCTTCATTATGTGCCTTGGATACAACAGACTTAATACAGACCCTTGTGCTTATTTCAAGAGGCCTGGTGATAACGATTTTGTTATATTGTTGTTGTATGTGGATGACATGTTGGTTGCAGGACCCAACAAACATCATATTGAAGAATTGAAGGCACAACTGGCTAGGGAATTTGAAATGAAGGACTTGGGATCAACAAACAAGATTCTAGGGATGCAAATTCACCGAGACAAAAGTAATAGGAAGATTTGGCTTTCACAAAAGAATTACTTGAAGAAGATCTTATCACGATTCAGCATGCAAGATTGTAAGCCAATTTCTACCCCTCTTCCTATTAACCTCAAATTATCCTCCAGTATGAGTCCTAGCAGTGAAGAAGAGAGGATGGAGATGTCTCAAGTACCGTATGCATCAGCAGTGGGAAGTTTAATGTTCGTTATGATATTTACAAGACCAGACATTGCACAAGCAGTGGGAGTGGTTAGTCGGTACATGACGAATCCAGGCAAAGAGCATTGGAATACAGTAAAGAGGATCCTGAGATACATCAAAGGGACCTCAAATGTTGCATTATGTTACGGAGGATCAAACTTACTAATCAATGGGTATGTAGATTCTGACTATGCAGAGGATTTGGATAAAAGCAAATCTACTACAGGATATGTGTTCAAAATTGCTAGTGGAGCTGTAAGCTGAGTTTCAAAATTGCAGTCAGTTGTGGCTACATCCACAACAGAGGTAGAATATGTAGCAGCTACACAGGCCAGTAAAGAAGTAATTTGGTTGAAGATGCTATTGGAGGAGCTTGGGCACAATCAAGAGATGTTTCTCTGTTTTGTGACAGTCAAAGCGCCTTGCATCTAGCAAGGAATCCAACATTTCATTCAAGGACAAAACACATATGAGTTCAATACCACTTCATTCGTGAAAAGGTGGAAGAAGGAACAATAGATATGCAGAAGATCCATACCAAAGACAACATAGCAGATTTCATGACGAAGGCGATCAACGCTGATAAATTTAACTGGTGTCGATCCTCCTGTGGCCTGTCAGAAACATAAACAACATGAAGGTACAAGGTAGAAAGAATGGTGTGAAGATATGATTGTTCCAATCAAATCTTCAAATCTTCAAGTGGGAGATTGTTAAAATTTCCACAAGACAAGGTAAGCACCGAATGTGCAATTTTCAATGGTAGCTGGAAAAATGGTTTTGGGCAATTAATATTGTCAAATTTAGGTAACCAAATTGTTGAAAAATAAAATGGTAAAAGCTTAAATTTAGTCATTGTAATTTAGGGTATTTACAAATTAGTCCTGAAGACTTCAACTATAAATACCCTAGCTCATTTAGCTTCAAAACCATCCCAAAGCATTCTAGCTTTCTTCCAATACTAGAGAATTTAGAGAGTTTCTTGAGAGTTATTTTTCTCCTTTTTATCAAGAGAGAATTATCATGGTTTTCTCCTTGGTAGATAGAGAGAAGTTGTAATTCCTATTTTCTCATAGTGAAATTTTTCTACCGTTGCCCATGGTTTTTTACCCTATATTATCTAGGGGTTTTTCACGTAAATTCTGTGTCTCTTTCAAGGGTGATACGATTGATTAGTGAGAGAGAATAGAGATGAAGATGGAGCCAAAGAGTCTCACATAGGAGTACCATATGGATGAGTTGAGAGACTAATTTCTGCATTTAACTTAGGGCGACAGAACTGTACTTGAGTATGAAAGGGAGTTCCTCATATTGAACCATAACACACCATAGCTAGTGGCGACCAAGGCTTACCATTGTAGGAGGTTTATGAAGGGCCTCCACCTAGATATCTTTACTCATCTGGCAGCTAACCCTCCTTGTATCTTTGTAGAGTTGATTTGGTAGGCGAAAGCATGGAAAGAGTTCTGAGTAAGAAAGCTCATACAGCGAGCAGTTCGATGGGTCTGAATCGGAGAGCTTGAGAGACAACTAGACTATCTCAGTCATTGATAAAGCGGGCCAATGGTCTTCATGGTTTATGGAGATCATCACTAGGTCACTCTAGAGGAGCAGTTCAAAGTTCAGACATCGAGGTAGGTATGGTCCTTGTAGAAGAACCTTATCATCAGTTTATGGATCAAGAACTAATAAGAAAAAATGGACTTCATCCTACCTGATGTGCTCGACTTATGGTAGAAGACACCCCGGGGAGTGTTATCGAGTGTCTGGAGGTTGCTTCAACTGTGGTTCATTAGGACACTTTGTTAGAGACTATCCCAGAGCTCAGAGCACAACTCCCGTATCGACACAAAGGTCAGCACCATCTGTTTAGCGAGGACGAGGGTCCTCGAGGGGTAGCGAAGCTGTTTCAGGATAATTCAATAGGGGTACCACCATATCAGAGACTGGCTTGGAGCCTAAAGTGGACCTCACACTAGTATGTCGTTCGAGCACAAGAGGAGTGTGATGTTGCAGATGTGATCTCATGTATATTTACAATGTTCTCCATTCTAGTTACTGCATTAGTATATCTAGGTTTCACTCATTCCCACATATGTTATGATTTAGTCCGAGAGAGAAATATCTCAACCATGATTTAGGGATAAGGGTCAGAGTGTCTAGTCCCCTAGAGTTAGACATCTTGGTTAATAAGATTCACCATCGATGCCCCGTAGAGATTCAATGTCAAATATTCCTAGTCGACTTAATAGAGTTATCGTTTCAGGAATTTGATGTGATATGCATAGATTGCCTTTCAGAGCGCAACACTAGTTTAAAATGCAAGGCAAGACAACTTAAACTCTAGAAGGATGATGAGACCAAGGTAGTGATGATTAGTGAGAGGTCAGGTTGTAAGATCAAAGTCGTCTCTACGGTTGTAGCTTAGAGATTGATGAGTCAAGGGTGCGAAGCCTTTTGGCTCACGTTGTAGACACTCGAGTTTCAGTTTCGTTACTTGATGATATTCGTACAGTGCGAGAGTTCTCCAATGTGTTCCTTAAAGATTTATTAAAGATTTATCGGGTTATCACATGATCGGGATATCGAGTTTAGTATTGAGGTTTGTCAGGTTCAACTACGGTTTTCGTTGCTCCCTATCGTATGGCACTGACAGAGTTAAAAAACCTAAAGAATCAGATCCAGGAGTTGTTGGAGAAGAGTTTAATCTGATCTAACATTTCAACTTAGGGAGCGCCAGTTCTTTTCATCAAGTAGAATGATGGATCAATGATGTTATGCATCGACTATCGATAGTTGAATAAGTAGACTATCATGAGTGAGGATACCGACATAGCCAAGACAACATTAAGACGAGGTACGACCATCATAAGTTCCTCGTGATGCCGTTAGGAAACATTAGGTACCTACTTTTAGCGAAAAATTCTTTAGGCACTAAAATGTTTTTTTACGCAAAGTTCAGGCACTTATTTTTGTATTAAGCCTTTTTTTATTAAGCTAAGGTGATTATAAAGTAGTATTTGTTTTAAATACTCTCAACCATTTAACAATGAACGCTCAGTCACCTTGCTATAGTCATTGGTGTTCAAACCCGTGACCTCTAGGAACAACAATTCCTTTAACCACTGAAGTTAAGTTGATTTGGCCATGCTTGTTATAAATTTAAATATTGATTATATTATTTAATTTAATGAATAAATATGAATAATGGAAACTAAATTAGTTTTCTTTGGTATAATATAAAAGTTAATAATATTTAACAATTGATCATATTGAACAAATTTAACGGTAGAAGAGAGTGTTGTTTTCTCTAAAAAATTTATATTGAGTAAAATTATATCTACATGGTGTGTGCTCATTGTCAAACTATCACCTCTATTGTTTTTTTCCCATTAGTCTCGGGTGATTATAAGATAATATCCTATCGAAAGATTCTCAGCAATTTGACAACAAAAGTTCATCACCCTTTACAGTCTTTAATACTCGAACCCGTAACGTCTAAAAATAACAGCAATCTCTTTAATCATAATTCGTTCAACTATCACCTCTATTGTTTGAATCTAAACGCATTCTATTTTTTATTATATTCTCGTCATTGTAATATTTAATCTCATTATTATAGTAAACACGTTCAAATATTATATTTTTCATGTAAATTTAGAAATAGCTGCTATGATTTTTCTTTGTATAATTTTTCAATTTGATTTTTATTTTGCATATGTGTGTACGTTGTGTCGGATGTAAGTTTTTATCTTAAATTCGGGTTTGATTAAGTTCAGATGAAGAGAATATACTTCTCGAATTGGATCAAATTTAAGTACAGATGAAGAAAATATGCTTCTTGAATCGGATCAAATTTAAGTATTGGTGAAGAGAATATGTATCCTTCACCCGAGTCCGACCTAACCCGAAAATTTTATACCCTCCATCCGATCCGACCTGACCCGAAAAATATATATCATTCACCCGACTCCGTCCCGACTTGAAATTTTAGAGTATAAATCAGACTCGATCCGACCCGGTATAAACTAAGGACTTAATTAAAAATAACAATAATTTTTAAGGAAATTATATTATTATCCTAGAGTCGGAGATTTTCACCCTCCATCCAAACCCGACCCGATCTCATCCCTTAAAAATTCATCCCGGCCCGTTTTGAATCTATTTTTTTTAAATCCAACTCTATTAAATCGGATTAGATCGAAACTCGACGGATTCAAATTAAATTGCCATCTCTAGCCCATACCCCGACCTACTAGCCTCCTAAATATAATCCAACTCTAATCCCAAGAATGGTGCTTAATGAACCCCAATATTTAACCAACCCATTAAGCCCAATAATAGGAACTTCGATGGCTCAGCTGAATCCAACCCACTCAACTTCTCTTCTTCAGTTGCTGCGTTGTCTACCTCCCTTATTCCATCTCCAAACCTTTTCTTTTCGACAGTTTTAAGAGAAGAAATGGCAGTAGCAAGGATGAACGTCAACTGTTCGATACAAAGCAGCCTCTCGTGTATATTAAAGCCATCATCTTTCTTCAGTTTCAGAACTGCCCATTTCAAGAATCGTCTCTATCTCCCTCAAAACAACTTCGTTTCCCCAAAAAGATCATTGCTGTGTACCTGCTCAAGCAATAGCAACCAGGCTAATGCTTCCCAAACTGGAGAGAAAGCTGAAGCTTTTGTTATCACCACTCCTCTTTATTATGTGAATGCCCCTCCTCATATGGGTAGTGCCTACACTACTATTGCTGCTGATGCCATTGCCAGGTTTCAGGTATTGTTTAATGGTGTCTTTGGTTCAATCAGAGTCGAACATAGGATTTTATATTAGTAGACGAACTTATTATAGAATTTTAGGGCCGAAAACAGATTATGAACAGAAGATATAAAGTTTCATCCCTGGTTTCAATGGGGTTCAGTTATTGATAATGTGTACTGGAATTTGTTATTATGGTTACCAGTATATATAAAGATCAGCTAGACCATAATTGTTGCTGATGCCATTGCCAGGTTTCAGGTATTGTTTAAATGGTGTCTTGGTTTCAATGGGTTTCGGTTAATGGTATTGTGTAATATACTTATTCTGGGTTAGAAATTTGATACTGGGAATTGTTTCGCACCTCTTGAAATTTTGTAATTTCGTACTCAAGAAATTCTAGTATAACTTCTTAAGTTTGTAACCTGACATGAAATCTTGCATTCGTCCTTCTTATCAGTTTGCATAAGAAAAACTAGACTAGTTCGGTTGTTGGTTTTGCTGCTTGTTTGTTTCTTAAGAACCAATGTATTTGTACATGTTGCAACTATGTTACAATCAGTATTGGCGGCTCCTATGTGGTTATTAGTTTGCATTCCATGGTTTTGCTTTATAACAATTTGTTAGGAAGAGAAAACATCTGAATATCCCACTTGTTGTTGAGCTGCAAAGACCCCTTTTGATTGTTTTCTTCATATATATGGCAGAGGCTTTCAGGAAAGAAAGTCATATTTAATACCGGAACGGATGAGCATGGTGAGAAGATAGCTACAGCGGCATCCGCTGCTGGCTCCAGCCCAAGAGAGCATTGTGATGTTATATCTCAAGCTTATAAAATGTTGTGGAAAGATGTAATTCTTTTAAATTCCCTTTTCTTGACCCAATTAATTGAGATTTTGGATTTTGTTATGATTGTCAATGTTTTCCTGAATACAGTTAGATATAGCTTATGACAAATTCATCCGTACGACTGATCCAAAACATGAAGCAATTGTCAAGGAGTTCTATTCTAGAGTTCTTGCCAATGATGACATTTACCGGGCTGACTATGAGGGTCTGTATTGTGTCAATTGCGAGGAGTATAAGGTTGTACACCACATTTCTATTTGTTTATAGCAACTAAAGTGTTCATATATTTTAGTGTGGACTAAATCTTCATTAAAGGGCACATTTCTTTTATGCTTCGAGCGGAAAACATTAAATTCTTTGTTTGATAATTTCTAGAGGTTGATGAGATTACATGGTTTGAATAAAGCATCGATATGCGTTTGCAGCATCTTTTCTTGCATTTCTCTTGGTTATTTTACTTAAGAATGGCTTGTTGTAACATTATGCAGGATGAAAAAGAGCTGCTCGAAAACAATTGTTGCCCTACACACCTAAAGCCATGTGTTCCTCGCAAAGAGGATAATTATTTCTTTGCATTGTCCAAATACCAAAAATCGTTGGAAGAAATTTTGGCACAAAACCCAGATTTTGTCCAGCCTTCATACCGATTGAACGAGGTGAAGCAAAGTACAACTATTCTCTTTTTGGGATAGAACGATGTTCATTGCAAAACTCATTGAAGTGATAAACTTTTCCAGGTGCAAAGTTGGATAAAAAATGGCTTAAGAGACTTTTCAATTTCCCGAGCAGCTGTGGATTGGGGTATTCCGGTTCCCAACGACAATAAGCAAACTATATATGTTTGGTTTGATGCACTCCTTGGGTACAGTTGAAACCTATTGGATTTTATGGTTTAATAGCTGCAGAAAATATTGAAAAAGAAAACAACGAAAGAACCGACAATGATCAAAGATTCTGCTTATTACTTGATATCTGCTTGTTATGCATTGCAGATATTTTTTGTTGAAAAGGATTTTAACAAGTACAACTTTTTTCTAAAACAGCTATATATCGGCTCTGTTGGAGGATAAGGATCAACCTAACTTACAAACCGCTGTTTCTTTGGGTTGGCCTGCCTCGTTGCACTTGATTGGAAAGGTATGAAACTTATCAACATGCCAAGAGTTATCATATGCACTAAAATATTTGATCTCCTATTATTGGTTTCCTTTGATTTTTTTTCCGATTTCCATCCGTTTGGAAAGCTGGTTGTCACATTTTCCAAGATGTTTCCCGAAAACTTCTTGCTCATCCTCATGCTGCCTCATTGCACTGATGTTTCCAAGTATCGATTTACTTCGACTAATCATTGTTGAAAATGATGACCCTTTTACCCTTCTATTTCATGAACATAGATCTTGAGATTATTTCTCAGCTGCAGGACTAGTTATAAGTGGGAGCACTTGTATCGATTTTATAAAGTTATTGCCATTTTTAAATGTTACTCGAATGAATGAGTACATTTCCCCTTTGAATTATAAAGAATTTTGACATTTCTTTCTTTTTCTGTTCTCTTTTTGTAGGATATTTTACGTTTTCATGCTGTTTACTGGCCAGCTATGCTGTTGTCTGCTGGGTTGAGTCTCCCTAAGATGGTGTTCTGCCATGGTTTCTTGACAAAGGTACTTGAACACCACGAAGCTTAGCCTATTGTTTTCCGTTTTAAGTCGGTGCAAAATATTCGAATAGTAAAAATTTAAATGCGATTCATGGAATTGTTTTCCATTTTTAGTTGGGGCAGGCAAAATATTCGAATGGCAAAACATAAAATGAGAACTTCATGAAATTGTTTTCCTTCTTAAGTCGGTGCATATACGTACTCACTAACTAAGCTGCTTATTTAGCCTATATGCTTTGGCCTGTGGTTATAATTTCCATGAGAGCAAGCAAATTCTTTTAAACATATATATATGTATGTATGTATTTCTCTCATATACGTAATTTTATTTCATGCAGCAATGCTTTTTATTTTGAAAATTATAGGATGGCTTGAAGATGGGGAAGTCGCTAGGGAATACGATTGAACCAAATGAATTAGTGCATAAATTTGGTGCTGACGCAGTCCGGTACTTCTTCCTGAGGGAGGTAGAGTTCGGAAATGATGGGGACTATTCCGAAGATCGTTTCATTAATATTGTCAATGCACATCTTGCCAACACAATAGGTAAGTTTCGTTTACTATCAGTAGTTTTTAAGCAGCTTTATTGTTTCATTCTTTAATATTCGTAGAACCAGATTGATACGCATACGAGCTTGACTACATCGCAGGAAATCTTCTCAACCGCACTCTTGGACTTCTTAAGAAGAACTGCCAGTCGACTCTAGTGGTTGATTCAACTATTGCAGCCGAAGGAAAGGAATTTAAGGATACCGTTGAGAAGCTGGTAAGGTTTTTGCCAATCTAATGCCATATCTTTAGCAATTGGTAGTAGTTAGTTTCCCATGTTACTCCGACTTCACATTTTTCTTAAAGTACCTATTTCCGAAACATATTCGAACGTAAGTATCAGGTATGATTCCCCAAATAGATAGGGAAAAGTTGAAAATTTGAGCATACCAGCATTGGAAATTACTTATATCCGACACTCGATTTGAAAAACAAGCAGATCATAGACGATTTCTTCAGAAAATCTTTGGATTCTTCTCTTACTACGTTTGCCTAGTTTAGGAATGACTCGGTTTTTGGTAATGAATTCTTGGATTCTTCTAATGGTAATGAATATTGCCCCCAATATTCAACTTCGGAAACTTTTTGGTTAAATTTCTCCTCTTATGATTCTTCGGTTTTGTTTTGTCCTTCTTTCTTTTGTATTTCTCCTTCCTTTAACTTTCCGACAACGTAAACGGCATCTTTTAGGTCCATTACTGATGCATTTCTGTTCCATATGTTATTTAGGTCGAAAAAGCTCGTTTCCATTACGAAAATCTGTCCCTTTCATCAGCTTGTGAAGCTGTGCTAGAGATTGGCAATGCTGGAAACTTGTACATGGATAAGCATCAACCATGGTCTCTTTTTAAGCAAGGAGGCGACGCTGCTGAAGCTGCCGCAAAGGTTCTTCTGCCTTCATTTATGTATCTTTACGTACAAATATTTCACACTCTATTGTTCCGATGAAGGGTTTTTTTACTCGAAGCACCGGCGTTTAACACCCACGTCTGTCAGATATGGACACACGCGCCAAAGTCCGAGTAACATAGATTTTGCAGGATTTGTTTGACCAATTCTATCTGAATGCTTTTATCTGTTCTGATATTGGGACAGGATCTTGTGATCATACTCGAAACAATGAGGATTATAGCGATTGCTCTGTCACCGGTCGCGCCTAACTTATGCAGGCGGATACATTCACAGCTTGGCTACTCCGAGGACCAGCTTGATAACCTAAACTGGGTACACGCACTCGCTCTCGTTCTCTCTTGATATGTATGCATGCCGACTTGCATAAGTTTATCGTCATATTAACTGCGCCGAATGTCGGTAACTGCAGAGTGAAACAAAGTGGGGTGGACTAAAGGGTGGTCAAGTGATGGCTCATCCTCAGCCAGTCTTTGCAAGAATTGAACAAATAAAGGAGGATGACAATGACGGGGCTGAATCGCCTAAGAAGGCTGTGAAAAAGAAAGACAAAAAGAAAAAGGTTCAAGGGGTGATAGAAGCCTAGGGTTTCCGATTTCGAAGGATTCTTTGCCTCTTTATCTCATTCGGTCTTTAGTCCGTGTTGGATGTAAGTACTTATCCGGCACGGCTGTATTCATTTCTTTCTGTGATTTTTCCATAGATTTAGAGGGTCTTCGGAGGATCATGTATTTATGTTGGACGTGAATGTCAAACATGAACACTTAAGAAAAATAAAAAGTTAAAATTTTCATTTTTTGACCTTTTTGGTCCGATTCGTATGATTTTTGAATCGTCGATAAAGAACACACCGTTTAAAAACGGAGAAGAAACCAATTCAAAATGACTCCACCGGAGATAAAAGTTGCTGCCATTATTGTGCATCAGAAAACATACTGGAAATTGTCTGCGAAGGGAAGAGATAACAACGCTTTATATTTGTAGCTTCTACTGTGACTGGATCATATGACACAGCCGCCGTCAGGGAATGGTGTACATGTAAGATAACTTCAATCAGTTCTTCCTCGGGACCCCGAGCCTAAGCCCGGAAATCCTCCTCCATAAGTGGAAGTCCATCGCGCAACTTCACCGTTGGTTCCCATCCGAGCAGCTCCTTTGCTTTGGTTATGTCGGGCTTCCTTTGTCGGGGATCATCGGGAGTGTTTTCCACCATCGATATCTTCACCTCTGGGTTGATAAGCTGCAAAACCAAATCACCAACACAACTCGATTAATCGTTTTCCTGAATGCGTCTATTGAAATGAAAGATGTATAGAAAACAGACCTCCTTCACAGCTTCTGCGAGTTCGACCATGGTGAATTCACCTAAAATGCAGAAAAAGAAAAATCGAAGTTGACATCGGAAATAAGAGTTCCGATAAGATCGGGAAATCGAGAGTAAAGGGACTTGCATAAAATCACCTGGATTCCCAATATTGATTGGTCCGGTGTTCTCTCCTTCCATAAGTCGGATTAGGCCATCAACCTTGATTGATTAAAACGGAAAACATGAGAAGCGGCATTGATATGTAAAACAGTTCGATTTTTAACAAAAAAACCAACGGCGTACCATGTCGGAGACATAACAGAAACTCCTTGTCTGTGTTCCGGGTAATTGAACAGTCAAAGGCTCATTGCTGCAAAATTTAACAGTCTAAGAACAAAGTGTGTGCAAGCATGGGGCAGCAAACAGTTAAGAAAACAGAATCGTCTTAAGCATCTCTGTAAAATCTTAGTTAGTACCGGATCGCTTGAGCTATGAAATTGCTAACAACACGACCGTCATCGATGTTCATGCGCGGTCCGTAAGTATTAAAGATACGAGCAATTCGAATCTCTGTCATCATAAGAAAAAAGAGTAAGACTCTCCATGAGGGAAAATGAAACACAGGAATAACGAGCTGCGAGCAAATGCTGGCATCGTTTACCTATGCCATGCTGCCTATGGTAATCAAACATCAGAGTTTCCGCTACTCGTTTTCCCTCGTCGTAGCAGCTCCGAACTCCTGCAGCATGATAAACAAACAGATAAAATTCACAAATAACAAGATCGTTACAATGCTCGTACTATCAGGCTTATACATATCAAGAAAAACCGGAAACGCTTTCTCGATATCTAAGTAGAATCGAAAACATACCGATAGGGTTAACGTTTCCCCAGTAGCTCTCGTTCTGGGGATGCTCCAAGGGATCTCCATAAAACCTCTGAAGTTGAGGTAAGCAGGATCCTGTATGCAGACAGCCATGGCATTAAAATCCAGGAAAATGGGAAAACGGTTCGATATCGATAGGGCAACAGTCTCGAACCTTGCTCCGACACGTTTAGCAAGCCCCAACATGTTCAATGTACCGATCACATTCGTCTTTATCGTCTGTTTTTTAATGTCATGAAAACACAATCTTCAGACACACAGTCCTTAATATCTCATCTAGGAGATAACAGTTACGCCACCGAAGGAACGTACCTTAACCGGATTGTATTTGTAGAAGATCGGTGAAGCCGGGCAAGCGAGATGGTAGATCCGATCAACCTCGACGAGCAACGACTCGGTGACATCTGATTAAAAAAAAATCAATCCTTGTATCATTTAACTACATATTCCAACATTCTCAGCCTATATGTTACTGAAACATATGAAATTAAAGAGCAATACCGTGACGGATAAGCTCGAATCTCGGATGTCCGATCCATTTCTTGAGGTTGTCTTTCGTACCGGTAAAGTAATTATCGACGACGATAACCTCATTCTTTTCATTCTCCATCAACTTATCCACTAGGTGGGAGCCAATGAAACCAGCTCCTCCGGTAACCAGAATTCTCATGTTGGACTGCAAATAACACCATGCTACTCAGACACATATGCACATATCCGACATCGATATGTTCGGTTTTTTTTTCAGTTTCTTTCATGTGTTCGGATAATCATTGTAAATTCTAACCCGAAAATCTCGAAATCGAAATCAATCATACCTGGAAAAACTTGGAAAATCTCAAAGGAGAAGGACTCGGAGGCTTCTTAGAAGCTGAGTTGTCAGTTCCATTTGCAGACATTCTCTTCTTTCTGCAGATCCTTTCTTGAAATCCTACACAGAAAAAAGGAAAAAAAAAACTCAAACGCTCGGTGCCTGTGAAAGAGAAGAGATTGTGGACTAATATATGAAAAAAATATGATCTAAAAATTATTAATTAAATACTTTAAAAATATAAAAAATAAATAAATAAAAATTGAATGGCCAAACTGTATGTACCAACCAGAGAGAGAGGAAGCAAAACAGAGAAACTTAAACAACAATCAATAGCTTCACACTAACAACTCCATTATTTCACACCAAATAAAAAAACAACAAAAATACATGTTTTTTTTTCTCAGATCTAAATCTGTACCAAACAGCCAAAAAAATACCACAAAAAAATTAAAATAAATAAAAAGATCATACCTTGGGAGAAATAAAGCAAAAATAAAATCTGGGTTTAGTTCAGTTTACTGAAATTCACGAGGATTTTCGAAGAATACTAAACGAAAACTGTGTTTGGACAGTAGGATTTATGACCAGCTTCTTATACCGTGTTGTGTTCGTAGAATTACAGCGAAGAAGAAGAAGTCTACGAGGTCAAGCTGGTGATGACGTGGATATTACAAGTTTTTATTAAAACTACAGATTTTCTAACCAATTATGGAATGCCACGTATCCACTTTTTCACCGCTACCGTGTTCGGTTGGGTTTGGGAGATTCTTGTTCGATGCGGTTGGATGTACTATAACCGTAGAATACCACTTGTCTTTGTACATTATATTTTTGGCTAAACTACACTCAAGGTCACTCAACTGTGACTTTAGTAATAAACATGTCCCTTTTCTTCTAAAAGTTACAAACATGTCACTCAATTAAAATATTATTGCAATAGATGACTTTGTTATTAAGATTAAAATCGACATCTAATGTTGTTTGATATAATAATATTTTTAGTCTTCAAATTTTATACATTTTATCAATTTTATCATAATTCGAAATAATTCAATAAATTTAATATTTTATATTTAAAATTTGATCAATTTAATTTGTTTTACGATAGCGAGCCCATTAAAAAAACACATTGTTGGGTAATTATATACGGCCATAAAATAATAATAAATTATTGTTAAATTATTATTAACCGAGAAAATAATAATAAAGTAATACAATATTTCTGAAAAAATAAAGAGCAATTTAGGATGAGAATAAAAATTAAGCGGATAAAGGTTTTAGACATGAAAGATTAAATTTATTAAATCATTTCGAAACATTGAATTCATCAAATGGTCTCAGTAGTTAAAGTGAATGTTATTCTTGACTTTGGTTGACATAATATTTTAAAGGGTAAACTATACATTTAGTACATAAACTATCAGTTTTGATCCATTTAAGTACTTAAACTTTCATTTTTTTTAAAACCATACTTTACTTTCATTTTTCATTTCATTTTAGTATTTTTTTTAGTTAAAAACTTAACGCGTTTAGTACATAAACTATGAGTTTTGATCAGTTTTAGTACCTAAACTTTTAATTTTTAAAACTTAACGCTAAATTTTGAACAGAGTGCTAAAATAAAATAAAAACTAAACTTTAAGAATGATTTTATAAAAATGAAAGTTGAAATATTAAAACAAACTAAAATTAATAATTTAAGTACTAAACATGAATTTACCCTCTTTTAAATGATGAACCGCTTAACAGTTCATAACTACCAGTGATTATTATATAACCCCCCCCCCCCAAAAAAATTTGGAAAAATACTTCTCAAACAATATTAGTTAGAAAAAATGCCTTTCATATTGTTCACGTAAGATTATCTAGTGTCCTATAAAACGTGTTTAATAGACTTCTCGTATTATATGCCATGAGACTCATCAATTTTTTTAAATAAAGTCATTTAATTTTGAATAAAGATAATAATAAATGTATTAATTTCATTTTTCGTAAAACGGGAGGTACAACCTCGTCTTTTACGAAACGCAATATCATTTTATATGGGTAATTTAGAGTGTATTTTTCTAACAAATGAGATATTTCTTCAGAATTTTTTTTTTTTTTGGTTTTTTATATAATAACAACTAATTATAGGGTGTGGGCTTATCTGCCACGTCGGATACGATACAGCAAATGTCTACTTTAATGGGGAAATTGAAGTGCATCCTACCTAACACTGCACCCTTACCTGCCGTGCCTGATTTAGACTCTCATATTTGAACCGGGGTCTTTCTTAGTAATATTTTTTTAGGGTAAATTATAAGTTTAGTACCTTAATTATTACTTTTATTCTGTTTAGTCTTTTAACTATTATTGCTTTTAAAATCATATTCAACGATACATTTTGGTTTTATTTTAATCACTCACCGTTAAGAAATTAATAGAACTGCTATGTGACTTTTAAAAAATTAATGATGATGTGACATTAGTTTATGGTGACACGTCAACATCACCGTTAGTTTTTAATGGTAGGTGACCAAAATGAAACCAAAACATAACGTTGGGTATGATTTTGAAACAAAAAAGTTAGATGAGCAAAACGAAACAAAAAATGATATTTGAGGTTTTAAACATGTAATTTACCCAGAAAACTATGTGAATTTCTTAGGGTAAATTGCATGAACCAAACGACCTCAGTGGTTAAGGGACTCATTATTATCCCTTAAGATTCCGGGTTCGAACATCG